CCCCCCCAACCCCCTGAAAAAAAAAACGATACTTCCGAAATGCCCCCTTGTATTAGGGAAGTCCACTGTCAAGGAGTAGGCCTCTCAACATTTCACCATTTTCTCCAACAGGGTGACGCCGGCAACCCCGTCGCCATCACCGAGTGGGACGGTGAAACGACGCTCATCGGCATTGCGTCCAACGATGCCAGGGCTTGCGGCAACTTCAAGCCGCCGGTCTTTACCAGGATCTCGTCGTACCTGGACTGGATTAGCAAGACAGCCAACATCAAGTTGCGCTGATCAAAGGAGAATGGAATTTATGACTTGAAAAGAAATACAATTTAATGAAAACATAAACACTTTAATGGAGATGTGAGGTGGCATCTAACACAGCTGCAATATTTTTAACATAACAATATAAATATTAGACAATATGGTGCTTTTGGCAAGTCTTAAGGGTGGATATGTAAATACGGCCATTATTAAGAATGACACATTCATAAGTCACTAAGCCAAAAATAACAATAGTTTGCAATTCACAAATAATTAGATAGATAAATTACAGTCTTAATGGTTCAATTCAAGATTCTTGAGGGATGTTGAATTCAGAGATCAAGGTCCAAATTTATCACACACATAAGAAATTTATAAAGAATACTCTGTTTCTTAGATTATAATACACGAGCAGAGTCAAATCGACACTTTCTATGCAGAGGGCAAATATAACAGAAACTTTTTTATCTTTCACCAAACACAATTTTTGTTAAGAATTTAGAATTCAACGTTTGTTTTGGGACGACTTGCCTTAAAGTAAACGTACAGGACCATCAAAACAAAGAGGACACCAATAGTTGGTAAAACGATGGTGAAGACTCTCTGTTTATTTTCAATAAACTCCTTCTTTCGTTCTTTCTTCTGCTTGTTAGTCTCCTTGACTTTTCCTTTCAACTGGCGCATGATGCTGATTGGCTGAAAAGAAAGAAAATTCGTCCATAAACGTACACTACATGAGTTAAAATCTTAAAATTTCAGATACAGGAAGTAAACAAAACTGACAGTTGGCTTTAAGAATTAAGCTCCACATGTGACACATTTTAACAACGAAGTAGAGTGTTCCTCAGACTTTTATAAATCCTCACGTTTGAAGCAAATTTGGGAAAGGTGAAAGAGCTGGAAAAACAATTACTTACCTGTGAACAAAGCTGAAAATGCAAACTGGTAAAGATAAAACTCTAACAATCGCTGGGACACCGTTTGCAGACCTTAGAGTCGTCTGCCACATCAGCGAAATGAAAAACAATGCTTATTTGAAGTTCTTCCTGCAAATAACAATAGAAGACTTTTCAATGATTCTGTCAACAGATTCATCCTCATTCATACTTTAAAGGTTCAGAAACTACCAAATCTTCATTATATTATCTTTTGTGTGTGTGTGTGTCGTAGCGTAAGATATCTTTTCCCAATCAGTAGATTCGAAAATTTAACCTGGTATATTTTGGAGCGCACTGGTGGTGGCCATGCGCTTCATTGTTTGTGTTTGTGTTGACTGGGCGGCCATAACCTAAAATTTCACATGTAGCCCTTACTCTCTCACTGAAAAATAATTTGTCTTTAGTTAACAGAGATTAATTCAGCGTTTAGGCAACTCCTACGTAGTGTTGTTTTTTTCACTCATGACTTATTCCTTTGTTTAGTGAAATAATCTAGATTTTCAAGATTCGCAATGGCCAGCAATCATGATGAGGACCCATTTGAGGGAATGAAAATCAAAGACTGGGCAATACTTAATAAACTAGAAGGTCGAGCTCTTTGCCCCAAATGCAATAAGTCCAGAAAGTACTTTTGCTATACTTGTTACATCCCTATTCCAGAACTTGAGGAGCACACTCCTAAAGTTAAGGTTAGTAATAATAATAATAGTTTGCCATTTGTTGAAATTTTATGAACATTTCGTTATCTAATCTTGAATTTTATTTTCAGCTGCCTTTGAAGGTTGACATTATTAAGCACGCTAGTGAAATAGATGGAAAAAGCACAGCAGCTCATGCAGCTGTCATAGCTCCTGAAGACGTTTCAATCTACACTTATCCTTGTATACCAGATTATTCGACAGAAGAGAATGTTTGTCTAATTTTAATTTCTTTTACCTCATTTTACTTTGAATTTCAAGCAATTTCATAATTTCTCACCAGTGAAGGTATTTTCAGGTGGTTTTGATATTCCCTGGTAAAAACGCCCTCTCTATCAAAGAATATGTTGATAAGGCAATGAGGTGAGTCTGAAGCTTTGATCAAATTAATAATAATTTGTGAAGATTTTTAAAACATCTTATCTTTTCCTCTAGCTCTAGTTCAGGTGCAGCTAATGATGATTGCTCTGAGCCTGAAGCAAAGCGAGCTCACACCGTAACTAAATTACCCATTAGTCGAGCAGTGTTCATAGATAGCACTTGGAACCAAAGCAGAGGGATTTATAAGGATCAAAGACTTCGAGGTAGAAAAGATTGCCTTTAGCTTTGTGTATGAAGGGGTCACATGCCATCAAAATAAAAAGAGCATTTGTTTAAAATTTCAGAAATTCCGTGTGTGGTGATACAGTCGCGTATTTCTCAATTTTGGAGGCATCAACATGGCAGTCCACGGTGGTTCCTAGCCACTATCGAAGCTGTCCATCAATTCCTTGTTGAATTACACCTCATATGTAATCTAGGTGTAAATAAAGAGCTCGAATGTCTAGAGCTCCAAAATCCTGATACCACTGTGGCAGACAGAACAGCTTTCATCCCTCCATCTGGAGAGACGTCAACCAATTCCATGCAATCGGTTAATTTTGTGGTAACAGAGGAACAGTCATCCCCTCAAAATTCACAGGAAAATGACCATCAGAGTGGCTCCTCTAAAAAGCCTGTTCAACCAGAGAAGCTGCCTTCAAAATTTGTGAAAAATCTGGCCTTGTGTCGTGGGATTCGTTCAGATCCTGGAGATAACCCTGGAATCAATCTTTGCGGGCCAGACCAATGGAAAGGAAAATATAGTGGAGATTATGACAACCTATTATTTTTCTTCCAATTTATGTACCATAAAATTCATTCAATTTATGATCATGACAAACTGAGGTCTTACAAAAGGGAAACAACTTAATAAAAAAAATAATATTTTATTATATTTTATTATGATACTATTAATAAAAACAAATATGACATTACAGTCTTCTATATTGCCCTATTCCTACTATGTACCCAGTCGTTTGGGTCACTCCCTTTAATGCAGAACGTGGTCATGTGGACGTCACGTTGTCGCTTCACTAGAAGTGACATAGTCACACCATTTGACACTACTGGGGACTGAGATAAGTGTTCACTTACTGCCCGCTAACGCCTTAAAAATCAACCATGAGTAATTTACGACGCCCCCTGCTATCGCTCCCATCCCCCTCCCCGCACTGGGGCACCTTTCCGCCTTTCCGTTCCGTTAAAACTTGGTGATGTTGTGTGGAAACAAGGTGGAATTGAAAATTTATCTTTGCCCTTTCTATAAAATGACAGCACGTATAGAGTATGAAGAAGCACCGTGGGTGTCGCGTTCCCGAAAGAGTAATGACAAATTGGCATGTTCAAGCGATTAAATTCTCCTTGAGTCTTCAGATCCCTCGTAGAAATCGACTACCCATTTTTCAGGCGTTAAATCCTGTACACCCTGTAAACCGGATTTTGATCGGTTTGAGGCCAGTAACCCCCCAGTTTTACGCTACCATTCATTACAAGTTCAAGGTGTGAAACGGATCGATGAGATCATTCCTCTCATTCATGATTTTCTAGTACAACACGCACAGCCATGAATGGAGTCATACGCAAGGCAGCTGAACAACTTTTCAAATTGTTTGCTTCCTTGCAAAAATATTTTCCTATCGATTTTACCAACGGCTCTATAAACTCACTGTTTCAAATTGTATTAACTTTGCAGTAAAGTAATTAACTGGTTTTTAAAAACACAAGTCGTCAAGCTCGAAGATTTGACTTGACTTCCTTAGTCAGGAGTACTTCGTCTTTTTTCATTCAACTGTTCTTCTTTTGTCACAAATGGAGTAAGCATCATGGCGGACGTGAAGGGGAAAGTTCGTGTAGTGGAACGTTTGAAAATCAAAATAGGTATGTTTTGATCACCAACTGGTCATTTCTTTATTTGCTCCAGTTTCTGGAAGAATTGTTGTTCCTGCAAACCCAAGTTTAGTCTCCCCCGGGTTCCTAGTTGCTTCAAAGAGCCCTAAGGAAGAAGCGCCTCCTGACATTTTTATGGAACAGGTGGTGTGATACCCAAGCTTGTTTGGACTTGAAGATCTTTGTTTGTGTTGTTGTCTCTCAGTTCTTGCTTTGGCATTATGTGATACACATGTGCCCTTGTTTCTCTCTTTGTTTCCTGTTTTAACTTTTAATAAGTACTCATTATTTAATGGCCGATGATACTTGTTGCGGTCCCAGCGTTTTGGCAGAGACTTTCGTTTGCCTGTCGGAGTAAATAAAGGTTATGTTACAATAATACCCATCCGAGGTTGCTGAATTAAATACGCCCTATTAAGGCCATTAAATCTTGATATGCTTCACTCTAGACGCCAACCTCCCTGCATAATAATGATTTACCCCTTGAAGCTTGTGTTATTCTGTCAAACTTCTCCTTTTGGGGAGCTGTCATTGTTCTGTGGGTTGAAAATCTGTTCTTCTGCACACATTTTAACTTTTTAAAGAGACATTGGGTGACATTCAATTGTTCTGTCTCCCACAGTTTCTCAAAAATTTCGTTAATATTTCTATTGCCATTTTCAATCATTTATTTTTACTTTTGTGCTATACCACAAATTTCTATATTTATGATTACTTACTGCGTAGTAGATGGATGTAGTACTCAAAAGAATGGTGGTCAATGCACCTTTAGATGGATATTTCAAAAAGCTGTTTACATCTTATCATGGAAGTACATTTGTTATAATGAATCTTATCTTCTGGAATCTCAGGTGAAGCAAAAAATTTACCAAGCCGTAGTCATGGATCAATCAATCAAAGAGATGTCTATTGTGCACTTTCATTAGATCAAGAGGAAATCTTCCGGACAGAAACTATTGAGAAAACATTAAGGTATTTATGCAAAAGAAAATATAACATTTTTCGTAGTATTATTTCATGATTGCCTTCTTAGTGTAGTTTTGGACATGCCATTATAGAAAATGCTAAATAAGAATGTTTTTGCTTTGCAGTCCATTTTTTTCTGAGGACTTTCAGTTTGAAGTTCCTCGAAGATTTCGTTATCTATCTGTCTATATTTATGACCGTGACCGCCATCTGAAACAAGATAAGGTCATTGGCAAAGTTGCAGTGAAAAGAGAAGAGCTTCACTCATATCATAGTAAAGACCACTGGTTTCCTATCTTGCCAGTTGATGCAGATAGTGAAGTTCAGGTTTGTGTGATATTTATTAAATTTTTTAATCCTATTTTATTACCATTATATTTGATTAATATTTGAATTGTGACGGTTTAACAGGGAAAAGCTCATATTGATGTGAAGTTTGAGGCTGTTGTCAAAGCAAACAGTCATTTGGAGCATCATAATTCTAGACTCACTGTTAGGTAAGTTTATTTTACTCAATGATACTGACATCCGAATAATTTGAGAGAGACCCTTTATTGACAAAATTGGTTTTGTTACAGATTGATCGAATGCAATGAGTTGACCCTGAAGAATGGTGCTTGTGACCCGTTTGCTACAGTGACAGTGAAATATTCCAATGGCAAACAAGAAACCAAAAAGGCAAAGGTTAAAAAGAAAACCAGCTCTCCTCATTTTGATGAAACATTCATCTTCGAGGTAAATATTAGAAAATTGTCATTCAATTTACTAAATTGTGTTGGAATGCTAAATCTTTACCTTACTCACAGCTACCTTCAGTGAGAGGCCAAAATCATGACAGGGAGTGGCAGTATCGTGTGTCTGATGCTTGTGCAGATGTTGATTGGAGTGAGCTTGTCATTTCTTTGTGGCATGACTCTGCTGGCATGTCAGACAAAATATTCCTAGGTGAAGTTCGTATTTCACTTGGCGGCGTGCAGCAGCAGAACCATGCTGCAACAAATGCATGGTAAAACCTGTGGTACAACTTAATTTGCTGGTGTCATAATCTAAACAATAAGTCCTGATTGACATTCTTTCTTATGGCTTTTTGAAGGTACTTCTTACAACCTCGTTCACTTTCTCACCGACCAACTTCCAAGCAATTAAACAGCCCGGCATCTGCTCGTGGACACTCTAATTCTTTGGGTTCTCTGCGTCTAAACATCCAGTATACAGCTGATCATGTATTTTCTAGTCATGTTTACAATGGTCTTCGGGATTTACTTCTGCAGAGTGTTAACGCAGAGGTAGGTTAAATGGTTACAGAGCAAAAGTCACATTTAAGTTACAGTCTGTTCATAATTAGTAGGGTACTGATTTTGTATTATTTCTCAGCCTGTTACATCTAGTGCTGCATATATTCTTGGAGCAATAATTCCTAGTAAAGAGGATACAGCACAGCCTTTGGTCAAACTGTTCCTTCATCATGGACAGCTTGCACCTACTATCACAAACCTTGCAAGATGGGAAATATCAAAAGTAACGTAAGTATTGCAACCCTTTTGCTCTTTTGCCCTTTTTATTTTGAATAAGAGACAAAATACTTTTGACTTTACAGTGATCCAAATACAATATTCAGAGGTAATACCCTTGTTTCAAAAATGATGGACGAGGCCATGAAATTGGTTGGTCTGCATTACCTGCACAACACTCTTCGACCAACTTTGGATTTAGTATTTCAAGAACATAAACCATGTGAAATTGACCCTAGTAGAGTAGAGGATCCGAGCCAAATACAGACTAATCTGCTTAATTTGAAAGTAAGACGCCTGCTTACTGATTTAAAGCTTTCTTGGTTCCTTAAAAACGGTTTCATAAATGTATTTTTCCGAATAATTCTGGTATGACTTTAAAGAATGACTTCACATGTTTTTTCAGGATTATGTGGAAAAAATATTTACTGCTATCACAAATTCAGCCATCCGGTGTCCAACCTTAATGTGCCAGCTATTCCATAATTTGAAGGAACTTGCAACCTCATACTTTCCTGGCAAGTATATCAAAAGAACGTTTTCTGTCATGATGATATGTTGGGCGTTAAATTAATATTTTCTGCTTTTTATTTCCTTAGAAAATAAAGAGGTGCGGTACTCTGTTATATCAGGCTTTATTTTCCTACGCTTCTTTGCGCCTGCTATACTTGGACCTAAGTTATTTGACCTCACCACTGAACAGATTGTAAGTGCTCTGATTGATGTCAGATCTATTACAGCACATTGGTAAAACCTCAAATAATTTTTGATTTCATAATTTCAGGATAGCCAAACTAAACGAACCTTGACTTTGATTTCCAAGACAATTCAAAGTCTTGGAAATCTAGTAAGCTCAACATCTCTTCAAAGAGAGTACAAGAAAGAGTATAAAGAAGAGTATATGGCTTGTGTTTTTGACAGTGTTTACACTGAGAGCCGTGTTCTTGCAGTCAGACAGGTACAGTGTAAAGTGCTTACTATATTTAGTGTCGTAGCAATATTCCTTAGTTTGAGTATATCATATGCTTATCAAATTTTTTCTTGTAGTTTTTGGAAATAATATCAGCTACTTCTAATCCAACTCAAAGAAACCTTGATTCGCCTGTGGTTCTCAAAGAAGGGTAAGTTTACTCAAGTCTCATAAATTTTATTCACATTCTTTCGTCTAACCAACTGCCTCTGTGTGCATCTTTGTCATTTATCTGTGTTATCTTGTGTTTTCGCTGCCTATATGAAGGCAACGAAGGTACGTTTCTAGTCTCTCTATGTTCCTCAAATCATAGAAGAATCTAAATTTTAATCTCTACCTCTCTTGTAATTTGTTGCATTATAGTTTTTACCAATTTATTTTGCTTTGCAGAGTAATGATAAAGAGAGCTCAAGGCCGCAAAAGATTTGGTCGGAAAAATTTTAAGCAGAGATATTTTAGATTAACTACTCAAGATCTCACTTATTCCAAAAATAAGGGTAAGTCGAACGGTCATTATTACCTGTTTATTGCATTTACACTAGTGTGTAGCATGTATTCTATCAGTTGTGATCCTATTCTTTTTGAAATTCATAGGAAAAGAACCACTTTGTTGTATTCCCCTGAATCAAATATTAGCTGTTGAAAAGCTTCAAGAAGATTCCTTTAAAAAGAATTACATGTTTCAAATTGTTCAACCAGAGAGAGCCCTCTACATTCAGGTATGTGTTTAAAAGATGAAAAGTTCAATTGATGTCTCTTAATTAATTAAGTTCATTTAACACTCTGGAGTTTGAAGCATTTTGGTTCAGGCAATTAATTAATGTATCATTCAATGTTTGTACTTTTTTGATATTATAGGCTAATAACTGTGTGGAAGAAAAGGAATGGATTGACATACTTACTAAAATTTGCCAAACAAATGCCAACCGCCTCAGTAGTTATCATCCAAGTGCGTACATCAATGGACACTGGCTCTGGTAAGTTTTCCTTACTATCACAACATTAATGTTTCATAGTTAACTAGTTTTGCTGCTCCCCTAAATCACCTTTTACTCTTCAGTTGTAGAGCACAAAGTGAAGCAGCTGCTGGTTGTAGTGAAGTTTCAACAACCGTAGATGCTACACTTCAAATGAATCTTGATCCAGATAGAGAGCTTCAACGAATCCATTCTCTTGTAATTTCAAATATTGATCGGTTAGAAAACCTAGTTGGTAAGCAAACTGACTTTGATCACTTTTTTATTTTTCATGTATGAACATCCTGGTTTTCAGTGAAATAATGTGGGATGTTTTTGTTTCAGTGGCTTCTGGGGATACTAATTTACTTTCAAGTTTCATGATAGAGGAGAAACACTCTTTCTCCACCACTTTAAAACAATTACAGGATACTATTTTCAGCTTAGAGCAGGAGCATCGTACATACCTCCGATCAGTAGCTAGAGAAACCAAATATGGTAGCAAGTAAGTAATGGAACCATGCATTCATGTAATATAATTTCTTATCAATATTTTACAACACCTTGTTCTTATCTCACAGGCAAGCTCCTATAGGTGATGACAATTACTTACTGTTGGCTGCAAGAGTAGGTCGATTGGACAACAGCCATATCAGGCAAACCCAATCCCTTCCAATGTGGCCGGTTCAATGACATTGGCCTATGCGGCAGTCTTGTCTGCCCCGCCAAACCTCCAGTGCTTCCCACAAAGGTCCTCAGTTACTGCAAAAAGTCCTCTCTCAACTTAATATTTAGTTTTCTAAATTCTAGCATAAAACATCTTATCAAATTCAAGCCATTCACTCTTGCTCATATCATTATGCAAGTCCTTATGTCACTGTGGCTATGAATCTCAAAGTGCCAAATATTGCTATGTATGCTAGTGCCATTTTTTTTTATTTTTTTTTCAGTTTTCTCTCATGTTTCAAGTGAGGCACATTTAGTTGGCTCAAAGCAAGAAAAGAGGCTATAGATGTATTTGAAAATGGTCTTTGTATAGAATCCTAATGGTCAATTTTCATAACTAGGGCTGATATATAAACTGTAACATAATCCTATTTTCTTGACAATTTCTATTATTGTCTGTAGAATGAACAAATTGTTATATCTTTTTA